CGCCTTGGTGGGGAGCGGCTCTTCACCTCCGGCTGTCGGGGCGCTCCGGCCTCGGCGCGCAGCGCTTTATTTGATGCGGTGCGGGGAGTGCTGCCCGAGCTTCCCGCGGTGGTGGGTAGAGGGGCCCGTCCTTTGACGGAGGTCCGAGTGTATTGGGACGTACACGGGTACTCGAGCCGTTGTCTCTGCTCTGGGTCTGTTCCAGCCTAGGTGACGGCAAGGGCAGTGAAGTTTCATTTTTTTGATCCTGGGAATGTTACCAGCTGGTAGTACCGAAAGGTGCGGTTTACAGCCGTGGCGTACTGTACTTCCATCGGTTACAATGGCAGCGTATCGCTCGCTAGAATACAGTCCCCAGGCAAGAACGTAGGGGAACAGGGGACAGTTCCGTACCACGCGTGTTTTCTCTGGTCTGGAAGATTTTGCTTGTGTTTGAGATGGGGGAGGGCAAAGAATACAACAAGATTAGCAAACTTCATAAGTGCAAGTGTACTTAAATGCAATGCTGCTTGATTTTTACTTCCCCCCCCATCTTTGTGCCCCGGGATGTGGTTGTCAGTAAAGTTGTTATTTGCTGAAATGCGTTTCATCAGATGCCGCTTCCCAGGATTGTAGTGAAAATACCGTAGCTGTATGTCAAGTCATAATTAAACCTTCATCCACTTTGGGTATCTTAAAGTGTATTGTCTAAGGGAACTGGCAGAACCAGAAGGCAGGTGGTTTGCTGCTGAAGGCTTTAGTCCCCCCGTGACACCGTGCCCGTGCTGAATCCCTCTCTTTCGGTTTGTTTCTATGACTTTCTCTCACCATTGTATTGGAACCTTTCGTTTCCTCTCTAAATGGACGGGTTGAGATGACGCAAGTGGAGAACCAGGTTATCTTGTTTATACAGCACTTGGGTAGGAAAGCTGGCCTTGTGATTAGGACCTGTATTCAGGAGGGAGATTCAGTTTTCATCTTCTCTATAGGTTTCCAGCATGAACCACTTTCAGAAATGACACTCAAAGAGCAGGTGTTCCATGCTTTCTGGAAAGTGGGCTTGTCTTAGGGCGGATTTTTGTTAGATATTAAAAAAGAAACCAAAGAAAGAAAGAAAAGTAAAAAAAAAAAAAGAAAATCACCAGCCCTTGGTCTGTCCTTGCTTTCCCCAGTTCTTAAGAGAATCCGTTTGTCTTGTCGTCTTCTGATAACTCCCACCTTGAGAATGCATCCTGCTGTCACAAATATTTGTCCGGTGCTCTCACCTGGATTTCTCCCGAGACCTCAATTTGGCATTGGTATTACAAACAATACCCCACAAAAGCATCGGGTTTTGTAAGAATTTCAGGAGTCTGCTTCCTGCAGGAGTGGTTCCTTGTGGTAGGGAGGGAGGATGATAAAGTGGCTCCTTCCATTATTTGGGTTACTGCATCCTTCCCTCCCTGGAAGGGCAAGTGCTCTCTTCCAGTGCTGAAATGCAGGCAGGGTGAGATCCTAAATGAATAATGTTTGACAGTGCGGGGGGAAATCGTCTGTAGTCCTTGGGGTACGTGATGAAGTTATACCAAGGAAATAAGAAGAAACTAGAAAAACGTGTGAAGTTAGCATGACTTTAAATGAACAGCTGCGTTTATCTTGTGTTTACGTTCTACTTGCCTATACAGGCTCGATGTGAGACACAAAAACAGGCATTAATGCTTCATTCTGTAGCGCGGAGCTGGCAGAACAGATCTTGAAAGGGGCCACTTAAGACAGGCACAAGCAGTTTGTTTCATCCTGGGCTTACAGGTGTCAAGACCGTGAGTTTCCTTCTTAGGATGACTCCTCGGAGCATCTCCACCCTACCCCTAGTTTTGACATGGGTACCTGGCCAGCGCTCAGTGTTAGGACCTCTTGAAGCAGAGGGCGGGTGTCCTGTGTGAGAAGGGGCTGTGCTCACTTGGTCAGAAGTGCTGCTCCTGTTTTCTAACCCCAGCCCCATTTAAGCCCAAGGGAATTCCCTCTTTCACTCGCCTCTTGAACTCTGGGTAACCCTGACAGACAGCCGCCCCGCATCATCTGGCCAAGCCTAGCTCTCCCCAGAGCTGCAAAGAGGTTCAGAATGCTTTTGAAGGTTAAAGAGATTAGTTGCTAATTTCTGAAATCTCACTGTTAAGCACTTATAAATATACGTGTTCAAATCATTGAAAACAGGCAAGCTTTCGCGAGTTTTCACAGGATGGGCAAAAAGAAATTAGGTAAAGTGAGGGCAAAGTGTCGGATCCTTTCTCCAGAGCAGAGAAGTGTAAGAACTGAAATAAAGGGATGTGAGTGTAGGTGTGGGGTTTTTTAAAATTTATTTTAATTTAATTTTTATATTTCTTTCAGCAAGGTGAATCCAAGGTGGGCTGGGCGAAATTCCATTAAAATCATAGAGTCATTAAGGTTGGAAAAGACCTCTAAGATCATCAAGTCCAACCGTCAACCCAACACCACCATGCCCACTAATCCATGTCCCTAAGCACCTCATCTACCCGTCTTTTAAATACCTCCAGGGATGGTGACTCAACCACTTCCCTGGGCAGCCTGTTCTGATGTTTAACCACTCTTTCAGTAAAGAAATTTTTCCTCACGTCCAAAATGTGACTTTTAGAAAAGTAGCCTGAGGCAGACACCTAACAGGGAAGACATAATTATGAAGAAGAGTAAAGAAGGAGTAATAGGTGGTGCTGTTAGTCTTAGCAGTTGTGCGGTGAGTAGGTATCTCAATCAGTACTTACTATGTGGTCTTTAGAGAACTGAAGTTGTTATAAGTGCAGCGGGTCTGTTTTTCAGGATGTGTAGTAATGTCTTATGCACTGACAAGTGCAATCAGGCCCCTGGTGTCTTTCATACTGTGTTTTTAGGACGGGCTGTTCCACAATGGATGGGGGAGACGGTACTGCTGACCTTGTGATTAACAAGAGGTTTGTGTCTGAATCGGAGCTAGAGGAGCGACGGAAGAGAAGGCAAGAGGAATGGGAAAAGGTCCGAAAACCTGAGGATCCAGAAGGTATGGGCTAGATTTTAATAATTACAGGAAAGAGATCCGAGAATATTTCACTTTTGTGGAAAACAGAAATAAAAGGTAATAGCTTGTATTCTACAAGTTCAAAAGTTTTTTACATAAAGAAACTAAGAACTGTTGGTGATTTAGTATTTCTAACATATGGTCTCACTTTCTGATTTATTTCTTCCTTTCAGAATGCCCAGAGGAGGCATATGACCCACGTTCGTTGTATGAAAGACTTCAGGAACAGAGAGAAAAGAAGCAGCAGGAGTTTGAGGAGCAATTTAAATTCAGTAAGCACCAGCAGTTACTATTTTGAACTGAAACCCAGCAAACTGCATCTATTGTGTGCAACGGCTGTATACAACATCTGACTAAGGGACGTATCTGTGTGTCTTGTCTGCCTCTCTAAGAGATAAACAGAGGCTTCAGAAAAGTATTATTGAAATCTTGTATTTTTCAAGGATGGTGGATGTTCCTGCAGATCAAATATTGTTCTGGGCACCGAGGCAGCACTGCACACACGCGAAACTCAAAAGTTGCTTGCAGTTATGAAGCTGCATGCCTGTAAAGCGTGGAATACTAGGCTTATTTTGCACATTATATCAAAAAAAGCCCTGATACCAATCCATGGAAAAGTGGAAATGTAGCGTGGTTTTGTGACTCTTGAACTCATGCTTTAACACAAGACCGTCCTATTTGAATCAATAAAAAGAAATCTTCTTCCAGCAGCCGTTAGAGTTCCAAGCTGTGATTAGTTGATGCAAAAGTGATTTGAGGCTCAAGATTACTATTTGGAAGAAGTAAACATACAGGAGTTGATTAAAGAAGTAGATATTTAACTCTTCTAATGAAATGGAAACCTAATTTCTACTGATGTTTGAATTTCTGGTTTTATAGAAAAATCCTTTGCATTGTATCACCTGTATATGGGCTGCTGAGTGCAAAGATGATAATGAGAACTAGAAAATTATTAGTCAACCATTTGGGGAAAAAGGGAGCTATTGGCTCTATCTAAAGAGAAGTGAGGATGATACTGTGGGACTCCATTTTAAGGTGCGTTCTGATCGATTTTGGTTCTTTAGCTGGAAGCCTTACCCTCAAACTGTTGTGTTCTTTAAGCTCCAGTTTGCCTAACTGGGTTCCATCTAGAATTTCTCTTGTATTTGCGACGCAGCAGAACTGTTTCACCTTTAACTGTGGCACAATCTTTGAGTTCCGTTAGATAACGCTCCCTGCCCCTGCGGACGCTGTCGAGTGCATTACTGACTCCCATGATTGCCTTTCCTGTTCTGTAGTACATGCTTTTAGAATCGTTCCCGTAGCCCAATTTCTTTGGGAGGAGGTAAGTGGGAGGAAATGACTAACTAAAGATCGGTGATGGGTGCACTGTGGACCACTAGTTTACCTCATCAGAGTTCGGCCCAGTTTGGCCACTTGTGACAAGATTTGTCCCCTAATATGCTTGAATTTGCCTTAAAACGTTCATAAGTATTCTTTCTATCCGTGGGAATTTTGGAGTAGAAAACGAGTTTAGTGCACTGTCATTCTGATCAGTCAGAACTGATGATGGGACTTGGGAGGAGAAACACCTTAATGCTGCAGAATTGTGTTTGCGTAAACACACAAACTTAATTGCTCTAAACCTTTTGTGTAGATAAAAACCGGCACACAGACTAGCTGTTCTTTCTGCTAGGTTATTCAGCACTGCAAGGATGTCTTCCTTTTCAAAGTAAAATAATTTTAGTGGAATGTTACAGCATTTAAAATGAAAAATAGTACTAGTATTCTCTAAAATGCAACTTTAAAAATTTTCTTTCTGAAAAAAGTTTACTTCAGTAAACTTTCAATCCAAGTCATCTTTGGAGGTGTGACTAAGCAATTCTTGTCCAAGTAGCCACCAGAAGACTGACTGCTATCAGCCTAGATGGGAAAGGCTTCTAATAACTGCCGAAATTAATTGTTTCCCTCGACAAGTTATATTAGATCTGCAACGTCTTCCCTTTGGTTCAGGCAGGAAACCTGTAAACCCAAGTACTGGAATGAGAGGCATCCCTGAGAGGGTGTAACTGAGAAGTAACCCAACCGCTGCTTTTGAGGCAACCCTTGCAGAATAACAGATACCTGCTAACCAGGAGAACAAAACCTACTGCAGACTATTTAGTAGGGAATCTCAATAATATCAGCCATAAGGATCTCTATGGCTGCTTCTCTTAGTTTGCAGATCAGGCAGGCAGAGAATGAAATTAATTCATGTCACTCGCTTCAAAAAATGTCCAGAGTTTCACGACTTCTGCTGTCTGTTTGAAGGGGCCCTCAGCAGTAGTGGTGAATGCTACAAGTTACTGTTTAAAGATTTGCGAATGAGCTCTGCATTCTTAGAGTTGGAAAGAGTAGGGATCAGCCTTTAAAAAGTAACCTCAAATAATAATTGATTTCTGGAGCTTTTCTGTCAGAGACAGACGCTTGCCAATTATCAGTGTAAATGGATTTCTTAGCTTGCCATTAAACTTGACTATGTGGGTGAAGATTTAAAAAAATACATCGACCTCATGTAAAAGCCTAAAAATCCTCTTACGGAATTAAGCTCTAATGAAGACTAAAGGTGATATTTGGATTTCTCAGGATGACTACAAAGAGCAAGACTTGGTCTTTCTAAAAAATATTTTTTATTACCTTTCTAACGAAATCATTTGACTGAGAGATGTTGAACATTTGCAGAACAGAAAATAAAAGACCTTCCTACCACACTAGTGTGTGCTTTCCTTAAAGTAGGGTAGCGTGTTTAGAAAGGATTTATTTTTATTTGGAAGTTAGGAATTGTCTTGCTTCTACTTTTTTTTAAACAGATGTTAATCTGCATTAAGTTACTGATTGTTTGCTTTAAGAAAATGTACTTCCTATTTTGAGGCAAGATTTATGGGGAGAAGTAATGTGTTTTTTTCCAGTTATTGGTTGGTTTAAGCACAGATTCTGAGGAGACAGGCTTAAACTCGGTGTCTGAAACCAAAACAACAAATATATCACTGCTTAATGTGGTTATTCCTTGCTTTGTGTAACCTGTTCCAAATGGCGTTTCAGAACTGCAGAAAGGCTGCTTGTGTGAAAACTTGGTCAATTTTCCTTCATTATGTCAGCAAGTCCAAAAGCATTTCATGGCTTCCTATGAACTGTGTCTTGCTTTTGTCTGTAGTAATAGCGTTGTGTTCAAACTGTGTTAGTTTGTTGTAGTTTGTGTGCTTGACTGTGTAAGAGTTTTGGCTTGTTAGCATCCCGTATCATTAACCGGGAAGTATTTTTACTCCTTAATTACAGAATCCAGCAGATAGCTTGTGGGGTTTGCTTTGTACCCTTTACTTGGCACGACAGCGTGACTGCTGGAGTACCCAATTCACTCAGTCACCCAGGACGCTACTCCCTGCGTTCCCAGTGACTTTGTGCAAATTGTTCTACCTCGGCAGTATTAGAAATGTCATATGCGAGATGTGGACTCTTACCTACATTTATGGGGCAGTTTGAAATCCTCGGAAAATGTTCTAAGAGAATGGGAAGTAACGCAAAATAAATGGCTGCTCCCTAAGTGCTTTTAGCTTATCAATATGCATTCTTTTTCTTTATTCAGAAAATATGGTGAGAGGCTTAGATGAAGATGAGACGCATTTCCTTGACGAGGTTTCTCGGCAGCAAGAGCTACTAGAAAAGCAACGAAGAGAAGAAGAGCTGAAAGAACTAAACGAATACAGAATATCCTTTGCATTAAAATGGCTGGTGGTTATATAGAGGAGGATAAGAGGCTGGGCTGTAGTTTTATTTTGTCGTTGACATTCTTTCTATAAAACTGCTTTACAGAAGATGTACAATGATAGACTTTTAAAGTTTAATGTTTTCATTGTAGCTTGGATCTCCCACTGTAATGTTTGATATCCCCCCCCCCAACCCCCACATGTCTTTGGTACTTTTTTTTCCTTCTCCCCCTCCCCACTGTTTGGGGTTTCGTTTTTTTTTTTTTCCCCTGTTATTGAGGGCATAAAATACCCTAGCTATAATACCATAGCTATGGTACCATAGAGAAAGAGAACATAAAGGCAAAACAGCGTATTGCTTCTAATCTTTTGCTCTTGTTTTCTTACTGAAAAGTAAATGTTCTTGTTTGTTTTTTTTTAACTGCCTATTGGCTGTTTTTAACATACTTGTTTGAAATAATGTTTGAATTGCTCTCTCTGTTGTTATTCTTGAAGTATTAGCTACTTTCTCCCTTGCTGATAACTGCAGGATGAGAAATTAAATACATCTGTGCAGATGCGCTGACTTTCTTCTGGGAAGTCAGTGCCCATGGAGACTCAGCTCCTTTGGGTAATACAGACTTTTAAGCAGTACTAAGAGCAGGACAGTTTGGCTTTGCTGTTAAATGCCAAATTTTCATGAAGATGTGCTAGAAAATAATATAGGGTGCTTTTTGTCTCTAATCAGTGCCAGTCAAGGGAGGTTGGAATGATTTCAGGATTTCTGTGCTAAGCTAAATGTTGTTTTTTTGAGGTTTACTGAACCTGTGCAGAACCTGATGGTTTCTTTGCCTCCTAATGAAAACCATTGCTTTTAAGTCATCACTGAACAAAGCACAAGTTCTCAAGGATGCTTTAGTATAAATGAAAGAGTTTGTGGACACAAGGAGGTGACCCAAAACAGTCAGCAAAAAAAGCTGAATAGTGCCAATGCTACAAAGACCTGCAATACCTTGTATTAGTTAATGTTTTACAACTCGGAGCGTGTGCTCTGTGAAGAGCATCTAAGTTATCTCAGTAATGCCTTTATGAAAAAGCAATACTGATGCATTTTTTTTTTCTTCAGAAATAGGCTGTAGTTGGTTGATGGATTTGGAATATTTTCTTGATTTGTTGGATCTACTAATGGGATGTTCATGGGATATATTTAGTTTCGGTGATGGTTGCTTGCGGGTCTGGCTGATGCAGGGATTTGCAGTATAAGAGTGTGTTGTGGAAGCAGCTGACAGTTCTAGTTAGGTCACATATGTCTGGGGTGAACCATACCGGCCCAGAGGGAATCTTATGTTGTCTTGAATTAGCCACATTACACACTGATCCCTGAATTTACTGAGCAGGGCCTGTTCAAGATGTACAGGCCGTCTAACCTCAGTCTTTGCAGTCTTAGTAATATCGTCTGGCTCTCTATCTGAAGTCTTGCTGTAAATTAAACTGTAAAACTTATTGCTGATGGGGTGGAGGAAGGAAGAATGTTTTATAGTCACCTCATCTCACGAGAAACTGAGAAGTTTTGCCTATTCTGTTTCCTTTATTTTTTTTTTATTGAACCATAATATTTCAAGCAACCTCAGTGCAACTTGCAAAATGACTCATCTGTGTTGGAAATTTTTGGTGGTATTCTTTTAAAATGCAAAAGGTGTTTTTGCATCTGCAGGTTGTTCCTAACGGTTTATCGCTACAGTGACAAAAAACAAATGCGCTGGATCTATAGGTACTGTTCAAGTGCTCTTCCAAACTAATAAGAGGAATGTCAACTCAGTGGGTTTGATTATTTGATCTTTGTCCTGGTAAAACATCCAATTTAAGCTACCCAGAGGCATTAATTTCATGGTAAAACCTCCATCAATATTCAAGTACAGAGCTTTTTTTCTTTCTTTTTTTCTTCATTTTTTAGGTTGAACAGTCATGAAATCATATACCTTAAGGTTAAACACGCCTTGGAATATTTTAACGCGCTCTCGAGCATAAGAAATTCATATGCATGGATGCATAGGAATTTTACTTCCTCCTACATGAACAACTGGGGTTTTTTGCTCCTTACCCTATCCAGACCCCACTGGACTGACAGTGTTTAAAGATTTACAGGTATTTTTTAAGCCAGTTCAAGAAGCGTTCGAGAACAACATCCTCTTGTCTTAAATCCTATGTAAATGTAGGAAACGTCCCCCTCCAAGAAGCAGGCTTTACTGTAGGACAGCTTTTTTTAATGCAGTTGATATTTAAGATTGAGAGGATTATTTCTAATGCAGTCTTCCTGAGAGGGGACACTTCTTGGCTAGGTATAATGTTACATTTGCTAATGGCAGCAGTACGTAAAATCTGTGTTAAAAATGTGCTGTGTCTCTGGTAGTTGAGGAGTGTTAGGAGAATGGCGTCCTGGATGGAAGTGAAAAGCCTGTAATTTGGTACCTTTTAAAAGAAAAGTCTTTGGGTTCCTCAGCCAGGCTTTTGTAGGCTGGTATTAGAATATAACAAGGTAACGAACCTAAATGTGGAAGTTGAACACTGCAGTGTGTGGAATCGTGGGTTGCAGCATCAAACTGTTCGACACACCAAGCTTTCAGATTGCTTGTGATAGCCACAGGATGGCACTCCTGTGCCATCGTAAAACATAACTACAATTGAACAGTCTGGTTTTGACTGAGAAGACTTTCAGTTGAGGTAGGGAGCAGTCTGGGTTACTGCTGTATCCTTAGGAAAATCATGTAAGGAATGGCATCTGAACACTCCTAATTGTAAAGCGATTGGAGGCTTGGAGTGTGTCACTTCAAAGGAAGGTGTAAGAGGTTTTGATTTTCAGATGTTCAGTGGGGAAAAAAAACCCCTATGACTTCAAATATATGGTCCATCAATACGAAATTCACTATCCAATATTTATCTGCAATAACTGGGGCACCTGTGAAGCTCCAGCTTGTGGTTATGTCACCTGATCAGCGGAATCGTAGTCAGAGAAGAAACTGGTAGAAAGCTAGATTTAGGGTTATAAACAAATACCCTTTTAAATTAGGTTGATTTGCCTTTGCTATGTGCAGTTTAAAAGTTTTGCAGAAGCTTTTGTGACTCCACTGGCACCTCATTAACAAGCAGGATCTTTGACGGACCTCGCTTCATCAGATACAGCTGGACACTAAGTCTGTTGTCAGGGACAGGACTAGATCCTGCCACAGAAGGAGACCCGTTCAGCGTGTGTGCAGAGTGAGCGTGCCTTAATAACAGACCAAGCTCCTTCTTATCCCGTCTGAGAACCTGCTTAAGCTTCTCCACCTCATTATAAGTTTCAGCTGCATCCCACCTTGCTAACACTGTTTTAAGCTACTTAGTTTTTCTGTGCAGTCGCAGTCTTTTTGGGTGAACGTTGGACCACGTGTGCCCTTAATCAGATCTGTCTCCTTCCTCTCGGGGTTGGTTTTCAAACCGGCAGTGGGGCCTTATGGCCCTTACAAAGAGGTGAGCTGAAAAGTTAGAGTGATAAATACCAAACCAGAAAATTGAACTGGTTTGCTCTGGTAGGCTGAAGTCTGCTGGGCTCAGCAAAAGGAGGGTTTGAGGAGGGAAGTACGTGGGAAGTAAGCCCACGTACTGCTACTTAGCTTTTTTGGTAAGGATTAAGGGTGGAAGCAGCAAATTTGAATTACGAATGTCTTGATCCCCATAGAAGAGGGAAATAGCGTATTGCCTTTTTTTTTTTTTTTTTTCTTTTTTGTCCAGTCTGACCTTTTTCCTGTTCTAAGACCTTCAGGAAAAGGCAGGACGGTGAGTATGTTTATGGGTGCTGAATGTGTCGTGTGTTGCGCCTTTCTGACTTCAGAAAAGCAGCTCCTAGTCTGCTGCCTGGCCATCTTTACAGGGAGAGCTGGTATTGATAGCCGAGAGAGCTCCGAACCCAGAGGGTGAAGTCTCCTCTGTCTTGGCCGAAGGTGCCAGCTAAATGTCATTACAAATAAGTTTATTTTGATAGAATATGTGAATGAACTTTGGTCGCTGCTGTCAGCAGAGCTGGCTAAATATATCGGAGAGGAAGTGTCTGTTCTCTCCATTCCTTCCCAGTTGATCCTTAACCCTTAATTCACAGCACTCTCACTAAAGTGGGAGTCAGTATGGACCCAAAGAAGGAAACTGAGAAGAAATTGCCCATGAAGTCAGTGGAAAACAAGAACAAATTCTCTCAGGCAAAGCTGTTGGCAGGAGCTGTGAAACACAGAAGGTTAGTTTCACACCTCTATAAATTCATGAGGAACGGAACCCAGTTAGCAGTGTAAAGGGAGGCAGGCCAAAACTGCTTCCAGAGAGTGAGGTGTGAACTTTAGTCCTAAAGAAAAAAGGGGGGAGGTATAAGAAAAGACCAGCCTTGCTTCTATAGGCTCTCAAAAACTGTGGGAAAAACATGAAATAATTCAAATAGATAAGCATGTGTAAAGCAAGTGGGTAGACTCTTCATTCTAGACTGCCAGGCTTGGGCAATCCTGCTTGGGGATCTAGAGGGAATCTATTTTACATCTCTATTTGTAGATATCGGTGTCACCTCACTCATGTAATTTCATTCAGGTTTGTATAATTTATCAGCCGATTTTATCTGTGTCTAAAATGGATTGTTTTAATTGCTACTGGGGGCAGCATGGGGGAGACATAGGTTACAAGAGAACAGCTTTGCGTACCAATTTG